GGCAGTGTCAATATGAACTTCCACGTCGCACTTAACTCTCATACATCGTTATTGGGTTTGAAAAAATCTATTCTTGTGATTATATGTTTCATTCCTATTGATCTGGCATGAATGGTTGCCAATAAGATTAACTGCAATATTGACGTCGTATCAGAGCGTATGCATGTATGATCAGTGCATTTGCACATGGGGCCGTGTAAAAGGGGACCGCATCGAGAAGACTGTCGCCTGGCACGGGCGCGATACACAACCGTCGCATGTTTGGCGCTTTCATGCAGCACAGCGACGCATTTGTATTTCCTTGTCGCTTTTGACCTACTTTTTCCATATATGTAAAAATATGGAAAACTTATACATTTCAATGAATTTATTCTAGACCTCACCATGACACAGTAGACAACGTAGTATGTACCGCTCGTATCCGAAGATACATCCTTTTCATTCCGCAACGGTATAGATTTGGTGCAACTGACCCGACGAGAAGAACTTGAAATACACTCCGAGGTGATTTTTGCCATATTATGTGAGGCAACATAAAACGTACCTTTCTCTGAAAATTTGTGGCGCCTCTGAAACAGCAGCTACAACAATGAAGTTTATTTCATGCATACCTCCCTCTATGCATTCTTCTGGCAAATTTTGGCCCGTTTATCTCAAGCACACGAGTGATTTTACAAAATCAACTGGAATTTTATCTTTGCACTCGCACCTGGACGTTGACGGGAGGACCTGCCCCACTCACAAGGAATGAAAATTCATTTCAAGGGTGCTTCTTCTCTTCTGCGTGCTTCTTCTCTTCCTCTTAGATGAACCGGTTTCTCGCAGCTTGTCAATGAATCTCCCCACGATATGCCAACATTTCTTTCATCGTTTACCAGGAAATTCTTGCAAAATTCTGCCCTTCCCCATCCTTTCCCAAAGAGCAGAATTTTTAGAGCTGACGGAGGAGCTCTGACCCAAGATTGGTGCGCTCCACGCGTACCAACAACGCTTACGTCATCGCGCAAAAATAAAATTCGAGTTGGGTTCGCGTTTCCTTCTTGTGCTAAAACAGCTAGAAAAAATGAACAATATTCTAGGACGTTTAAAGGATATGCAGAAGTCGTTCCAAAAAAATGCTTGACGTTCTCTCTGCTATCTCATGAACTCCAAAGAATCTCAAAGAGCGGCGCGTTTTTTTTTGCCTCACCCAGTATTTGCATATCCAATGACTGTTCGTTAGAAAAAAAGAGGTCAAATCGGTAATTGTGCGTAGCTTCCCAATTTTCTACGAAAGGCAATACGTTGGACAATCACAAGGCAATATCGATCGCTCTATTTTGAGAGGGGTTCACGATGAAGAACTGGAAGAATGCTTTCTGTGGTTCATCAGACCACAGTTTGTTCGACATGGCATGGAGTTGGCATGATTCGAGTTTCCCGTTCTGAGGAATACATCTCCCTTTCACCATGAAGGAATGTGCTACATTCAGTCCCTCCTTACTGACTCATATCTTCGATACGGTCTACAGTCAAATTGTGGTACGCTTGCTGAAGTCACGAAACGAAGTGACACTCTTCGGTATTGATTTCTATCAAGAACAGGATCGAGTCGACCCTGAATGATCTGGAGCGGCGCGCTGACACTTGAAAGAGGTGGAATGCTGCTCTAGTCAAGGTTAGAGATCCAAAACGTTTTCCTTGTGAAATTTCTTGATTTATTGCGTGCCTATAAAAATACATCAGAAGATCAATAACGAGATTGGAAAATTCAAAGAAAAAGAAGCAGGACTCAGCTCAAACCAGGAGCGAGATTTCTTTCAGTGCATTATCAAGTACCGAAATTTGTAATAATTCATTAAGCTTTTCCTTTTTCCTTGCCACATGCACGTTTCAACCACCTTTAAATTACTCTCACCTATTACAATTTGCCTAAAGCAGTGCAAGAGCATGGATTTGGAAAATGGGCACTTGCGGTCCCCTCTATTGAAAACTCCGCTATTGTAATTTATCTCTTCCCCGCCCTATAATCCGCCTCCCCTGCTCGGAGCCCGTCTTTCTGGAACAGTTACCTTAATTCATATTGTAGAGGGAGGGGTGGATTCTGATTTCCACGCATGTTCGTGGGCCGCAGATAGTTCCGATGGCAGTATCACCCGTAGCTGTTTACTAAGCGATACTTTCGGGACTACTTTTCGAAGATCATCTCCATATCCGGTTGAAAGGAGGCCGCGTGCGGCTGGGGGTCCTACACCACTGCTCTAGGGGCAATGGAAAGTAACCTTGACTTTTGAGAGGACGATTAGGGGATGTGCGCCATGTTCAGAGACTCGAGACATGCCTCGCCCTTGGAAAGGGCCACTCGAGAATCGAAGGTGCTGTTGCCCGTGTCTGTCATAGAGGTGAGACCTTGTTGGGGATCGCGAATTGTGAGCTCGTTGCCATCTCCCGTGGGTCAATCTTTCAGATTTCCAAGGTAACACTTCTGACGTTTGCCAGTTTTCAGCCTGAAGAGGTTTCATTTCCCCGTAGTTTACTTTGCTTTTCACTCCTTGTATTCTCCATGTGGATCCCTGTTCTGGATGTGGCGGCTTGCCGTTTAATGGCATCTTTTTTTTCCCCCGATTTAGTTCGCCTTATTAACTGGGACAAATGTCATTGACTGATGCAGTTTTTACTAGCTGCATAGCATCGCCATGCATGCTCACACACATACGTCGTACATGTGCGAGCCTATGTATACGGTCGACATTCGATATAACGAACTCGAAGGAACAAGTAAAAAATCGTTATAAGAAAATTCATTATATACAGTAGAGATTCGTCACACCTAGCGTCGACTGCATATGGATACACCTACATATGGGCCTAAACCATGAAATATCCGTAACGATGCCCACCAACAAGCATGCAAGGCCTTTATTACCCTCGTAGTTCAACGAGAAAGCACACTGGTCGAATTCAAAGCTAAAACTTACCTAATAACTGCGAAAGGAGTATCTAAACTTAGGGAGAGGGGAGGAGATATATTGAAATGCTGTGTAGACCGGCGAAATGCCATGAACTGCGCGCATTCTGCATGTAAATTCGATTCCCCTTGCAATACAGGGTAGGCCAAAAAAATATTGGGATATCTTTAACTCTTCGCAGCGTGGTGTCTCGAGAGTTTGAAAATATTGTAATAGCATTTCTTTATATGAACATTTATCTAGCTTTCCACCGATATCAAAAGATTCAAGATCCATTTCGTCATTCCAATACTCTTGCACAGTGTAACAGAAGTAGCGCTTGAAAAGTGTACTTACCAGTTCCCTGTAAGATGTGCTCCAGGTGACGTCCTTTCCTTAGCTTGCACATTCGCCATCTTGCTAGGACCTTGTTCACTTTTCCTGCGCCACCTCTTATACTATCTTATCTAACTGCATGAAAGTTATGTCACCATCTTTATTCTGATAACATCACTGGAAAGCTGAATTAATGGTCTATACGAGACACCATTGCAATTTTAGCCAACTCCTGGGGGCCAGTGCTGTGGAGTGATGAAGATAATCTACGTTGTTTTTTTTTTTACCCACCCTGTATATGCGATGGCGAACGCAGAAGAACGAGACAGCCTGGAGGTTCCTGCTATCAGTAAAAGAAACATCGGGGGTAAAGCCGGTTCTCTGAAGAAGCAACAAGCACTCGCGATAACGTGCATTATTTTATTTTTACGTCCCTTCCCTTTTCCATGACCCTCACCCCGCGATTCGCTTCCCAAGCACGTCCTACTATTTTTATTCTCATACTTGGATTTCTTGTTACTGGTTAACTTTTGATAATGTTTATGTTGTTGTCCAGGGTCAGAACATGGAGACACGGGAAACGAGAAAGGCGTTGATGACCATCTAGCCGTCGACTGTAATTTTTTTTTACTGCCTTCCAGATAAGACTTGCCGATGCCAAGTCCTCTTGCCACCGATTCCACTCCCACCAAATGTGAGCGAGTCCATTGATAAAGATAAATAGGCGTATTTTCTTATCACTATTCTTCCACTATTCTTCCACTTCGGAAGCAGTGTGGAAGGAGAAACGAGACAATTTACTGTAAACTTGGATTGTGCAGTTCCCTTACAAAAGTCCTTGGTAATTGTGGAAAGTGATGTTTCCATTTGAGCTGAGAATGTGAAATGTAGACCCTCTATGTGAAGGAGCGTGCACGATCCATGCATGTAGGTTTCTCAGTGATAGCCCAGAGTTGTAGCTTATCATTAACCATCTCTGCCCTCCCTGAAATGAACGATGACGACGATTCCGCGACGGAGATGTGCCTCCATGCCTCCCCGCGTGTGAGTTTGTAGGCCTTTTCATGCTGGGTCTGTCTCTTTTAAGTGATTGTCAAGTTGTCTAGAGGGTATGCTCGATTCACACAGATGAAATGCCTTTCCAAGAATATAGGTGTCGCACCTTCCATTTTGCAGATTGCAGATTTTGCAGAGCCAGGTGATTGGGAGGTTCTTAGCGATAGGGTTTTGCGAATTAGTTGCTGGCTACAAATCGGCGGAAAAGTTCCATTTCGGCCGCTTGCACTTGAATCAGTTTTGACGGAGTAATAAATCTTTGCGTTTCTAATATGGTTTTTGAACTCCTATGTAAGATGATCACTGAAAAGCATTTTGAGTCCACTTACCAATGAAAACCTTCCATCACTTTTTCCTCCCTTTATTTTTTTTCCAGGTGCGACCAGTTTGATCCATTCCATGTGTTTGAGGTAAGAGTCCCCAATTTGTCATTTTCTTTTAAGGTCAGAGATGAACCTTCCAACCATTTTTCAGTCTTGCATGCGTACTTCTTGAAAAATGGTATTCACGTAAAAAGGGCATTCCAGGTACAACATCGTTGCTGTTCGAAGTTGGAGGTGACCGTCTTGGATGCGAGAAATGTGACAAAAGGCAAGGCCTCTGACCTGTGTAAGTCCTTGATCTCTTCCTCATCGTAGCTATTCTACTCGTTTTTATATTATTTCTGATTAACCTTGGAGATATGTCTGTGGGATCTCTTCTTCAGTGGACACCCCAGATCCCTATATCGTTCTCCAAGTGCCTGGGACCCCAAATGGAAAGAAAAAAACCGCTTATTACAAGAACTGTGTCAATCCCATCTGGGATGAGACCTTCATCTTCTATGTGGATGCTTTTCAACATGAAAGACATCTGGGTAAGTTTAGGTGGGATGAGGATGAGAGTCATGGTATAACTCTTTTTACGTGAATGATCCTTAATCCTAGAGGTGACATTGATGGATGCCAACTACACCAAGAACTATGTGATAGATACAGTGATGATTCCCCTGAGTTCCTTGGTTTCTCATCAGGTCACTCACCTCGAGCTCGTTTTCAAAAAGGTTTGTATTATTCCCCTTTGAAAGTTGTTTATTTGTAGACCTACCCAATTGGAATCAGTCATCCCTCACCCTTATTTCCTCCTAATTCCAGAAGTCGGTGGTGAATATAGAAGTGCTTCTGATACCTGAGTAAGTTCTAAGTAGTCTTGTTCACTTTTGCACTCCTTTCTTCCTTCTATATACTTTGACGGAATAAGTAATTTAACCTAATTATAATGTGACTTCTTTCTCTTGAAATATTATGGAGGAGTAGAAAATGTATCCTTGTTGTATTCTGTTCTCTTTCTATCTCGAGGGTGTAAATTCAGAGAACCATCCATGCTGCATTACATATTGCATATGCAACTGTTGATTCTGGTTCTGTCACTATATTGCTTCTGTCATAGGGTGAATCCTGATCTTCGCTATAGTCTTGCCCTTTGTGATGAAGAAAAGAATTTCCTGAAGAATAGGAAGCAACATGTTTTCACTGCTCTAAGGAAGCTGCTCGGGGATGATTTGGGGCCCCATAATATCTCAGAAGTGAGCTCAACTTAATTACTGTTCTTTGAGATTCCCTCTGTGCAGAGATTTCATCCTGGAAACGTTGTGCTGTACTGAGAGTGCTATCCAATTAGTGGCATTATTAGCATTAGTACCACTTGTTGAGTAAACCTTATAAATTATTAAATAAAATCTGAACACATCACCTGACTCATGCCTGAATTTTTACTAGTGTGTGCTTTCAGTATAGCACTATCTTGACTTCAGAGAGTTTGTATTTATATTTTTAGGTGCCAACCATTGGTCTTCTTGGCTCAGGTGGAGGATTCAGAGCCATGACTTGCCTTAGTGGGTGTTTTAAGGGTCTTGCTGATTCTGGCATCCTTGATTGCATCTCTTATGTTGCGGGCTTGTCGGGGTCTTCATGGTCATTTCACCACTCCAGTACTCAGCATTTATTTACATTTTGGTTTGAAGAGTGTTAACATCAGGGTTTTAAAATTTTTTTGCAGGTACCTATCGCAGTTATATGCTCACAGGGATTTTCCAAAGAAAGGGCCTGGCGAATTGGAAGGTGGCCTGAAGGAGCGGGTGGGAAGAAATTGGAAGCGTCTTCTCACTGCTTCCAACCTTATGCACTACACAAATATTGTGATCCAGAAAGCTCGCAAGGGACAGCCTGTCTCATTCACAGATTTGTTTGGTCTTCTTCTCCATGACAGCATTCTTAGTCTGGTAAATTTGAATGAAGACAACATTTTTCAGTCACTCTTGGAGGTCAATGTTGCAATCATGATTTTTTTGTTGCACATCTAATCTTGCAGGAAACCCATGAGATGTATTTGAGTGCCCAGAAACAGAAACTGGAGGAGGGCTGGTGTCCTCTTCCTTTGTACACCTGCCTCCATGTGAAGAAGAATGTGTCAGAACGTGTCTTTCAAGAGTGGGTGGAATTCTCCCCATATGAGATTGGAATTGCGAAGTATGGGGTGTTCATGAAGAGCCATCTCTTTGGATCCAAATTCTTTATGGGGAAAATCATTCAGGAATTCCCTGAACTACCTCTTCACTATCTCCAAGGTAAATGCTGAGTTAGAAAATAGGATGGCAACACTTTCCTTTTCTTCATTAATAGACTGTGATCAGTTGATGGATGTGGATCCAGGTATATGGGGCAGTGCTTTCACGATCCTCTTCAAGCGGCTTATTCAAGAGCGAGGGAGAAAAGATGTGGCTGAGATGCTACGGGATCAGGCACAAGAAGAGGCTTCTTGCCTAGCTGAGGAAGATCAAGTTTTCAGGAATGAATTTGGTGCTCTTTTACTCCTGTTTCCTCCTATGATTGATGGAAAATTAAGGAAAATTTCCTGATGCTCTTCTGTCCAATTTTTTTTAGAAGATACACTGGTGTCAGACAAGATAAGTGATGAGAGTGAAACATCAGAGGATGAAACTGAGGAATTGAGGAAAGGAGAGGAAAGTGCAGTGCAGAAACAAGTCAAAGTGGATGGGAAGGAATTCAATGGGAACGCAGAAGGACCTGTTCCAGGTTTCTTTGAGAATCTTCGCGTTAAGAGTCATCAATTCCTTGTTGCCCTTAGCACAAAGAAGAAGGGAAATACTGAGTCCACTCTGGCATGTTTTGTGGAGAAAACACAAGGAGTGCTAGACCTCTCCAATGAGAACATTTCTCCCTCTCCTTCCTCTGTGTCTTTACCTATTGTTGACACTAATGCTGCTGATGTGGCGATTCCTGTGAGCCACTCCCAGCCCAAGGGCTTAGATAAAATCAGGTTACCATTACAGGATTTCATCTCAGCCAATTATAACCCTTGCAAAATAATGGTAGAAGTGAGACATGTTTTTCCTCTTGTTTTGTTAGGAGGAAGGTGCAGAATAAAAAGAAAAAGACAGATGAGAAGGCACATAGGAGCATTTGGCAAGGCATAACCGATCGTCTGTTGAGCAGCCCTCTTTTTGACACTCGGGCAGGACGTGCAGGTCTTGTCTACAATCCCTTGAGGGGTCTAATATTGAATCAAAAGTACCCCATCTCCCCCTTTGCTCCTGTCACAAATCCTGAGGATGGTAAGAGAGAACTGGGAACAGGTCTACTTCATCTGCTCATCTTTTACCAAAGTAGTGACACTGTGGGAATCATTTCATTGATCCTAAGTAGAAACGGATGACTTCAAGGAGATACATGAGGTGATGCAGACAGAGAGAAAGACACTATACCTAGTGGATGGAGGGCTGACCTTCAATTCCCCATATCCACTTCTCCTTCGACCTCAGAGAGGAGTCCGCATCTTTCTCTCCTTTGACTTCAGTGGTCGACCCTCTGATGACACTCCTCCATTCAAGGTGAGAAAGCTCATGAGAATCACATCAAGGTGCAGCAGACATATTTTTGAAAATTAGTTTTCTACACAGCAAGAAGTAGCTTTGTAGATATCTTTCTGAAATAAATCTGACAAGAACGGAGCATCTGACCTGATGTGGCTCTACTGTAAGTTTTGCATTCACAATTTCCTCATGGAAAACTATAATTGACTGGAAGAGTGTAGGCTTCAGTCACTCTAAGTTAGCATCCAGACATCAAGGATAATTTTATTTGATTTTTTAATTGGTTTCAGGAGCTGCTGTTAGCTGAAAAATGGGCTCAACTCAATAGGATCCCATTCCCTCCAGTCACTAAGCAAGTGAAAGAATATGTCAAGGAACATATTCGTGAATGCTATGTATTCAAGGACCCTGAAGATCCTGCTGTGCCCACCATCCTGCATTTTGTTCTTATCAACAATTGCTTCCGTTCTTTCTTGGCACCAGGTTGGTGCTGCTCTTTCCACCAATCAGCATCATGCTTTGGATGATTGCCTCTATGCCAAGCAAGCTTTCAGCTTCAAGTTGATTGTGCTTCTTTTTTAAATAGTAGGTGGCACTGTGACACTAAGGAGTAGATAGTCACTTTAACTGAGAGTTTCTTGCAGCAGGAAGCTCAATGGTTTGATTTATTATAAAAAGGGATCCCCACTGGAGTGAGGCTGGAAAGCTGGCTGGCATGGGGGGATTTCACCAGAGATTTCTCCTGCTTGTTAGTTATTTGCCAGTATTGGTAACTTCAAGTATTACTTGATGGTTACTATGTCTAGTCTGCTTTCCTGAAATCTTTTTGAGGAGAGAGAGAGAGAGAAGAGGGGACATGCCATAAAAAAAAATTACTTTTGGATGATTCAGGTCAGGTCGTGTATACAGGATCTGAGAATTCAGATTGTTCATATTTAAGCACAGCATAGAGAATACCCATTTGCCCATACATGGAGCCACAAGATTTTATAGCTCTAAGGATATGCACAATCACACAATAGGAAGGAAATACATTTCCAAGCCCCAATTCTTACAATAGGGCTCTAGAATTGCATATGTGACAAGCTCCATGGGTGGATGGCTGGATGTTTTCAATTAAGTGACAAAATTTCATGGTGATGCTCAGGTTTATTTGCCATGTTTCAGGTGTGTTTCGAACAACAGAAGAGGAACGGAATTTTGCAGACTTCTCTTTGTTCAGTGATCCTGAGAATCCATATTCTCTATTCAACTTCTCCTACACACCATTGCAGTTTGATAGACTTTCAAAGCTCATGGAATTTAACACACTCTTGAATGTGGAGACAATCAAGGCAGAGATAGCAGCTGAGATCCAACGCCTACGAGGAAAGGAAAAGACTCCCTTTGTCCGCCTGTTCTCAGAGAAGGACATCTCACGGCTGAAGGAAGTTTATGGAGATGCTGCAAATTTGGAAAAACTCCGTGAGTACGCCAAGCAAATGCAAGATGCCAAATTTAATGATAGCCTGAACTAATGAAATGCCTAGTTACCCTATGCACAGCGTCAGTATGTTTTCTTGACCTCTGTTTGTTACATTGTTGAAATTTATTATTGTTCTCTTTGCCATACATGGTCTTGTTGCTAAAACTCATTTTAGTTTTGCAATTCCTTTGAAATTGTTTCATCATCCTTGTTTTCAGTTACAGCAATGTGGACTTACGTTCTACATATTGCCTTGCAGTTTAATTGATGGTGTGTGCATAATTCATTGGCTGGAATGGCTGGAAATTCATTATTTGATAATGATATGTGTTGTTGAGGGTAAAGGCTACCCTTTGTAATGCTGAATTGCATCCTTTCTTTCCATATTATGAGGTCTATGCAAACAACAGTTTCAAGTGTTCCAAGTGTTAGTGCCACATTTTTGCCATTCGTTTACCAGTACCTGATGTGCCATTGACAGTTTGCTCATGTGTGATGGTTGACTTTTCCATGATGTGTAAGGCTGTTGACTTAGTGACTCTGTAAAAGCACAACTCCTTTCTTATTGTCTTTCACTTGCTCAGAAGATGACTACTGGTATAGTACTTTAACTCCAAATTTTTTCAAATGTGTCTACTGTGTCGTCAAATGTGTCTACTCTTGTTGAGAATCTGAGTACATACAGGTCTTTTCTTTTATTTTAAGCCAATGGAGTCAGTTTATATGAGACTTAGTTCATCAGTTCCCTCCCCTTTTCAGAGGCATTGCTTGTATCACCAGAGGCTATTATTTTGTACTTCCTAATGCCTTTTAAGAAATGCGAATAAATTTTTGTTATGAAACCAGATCAGTGGCCTTGACAGCTCCAAGTATATTTTCTACCTTCATGGATTTTCGGCTCATAAAATGATTGCAGAAAGGGATAGACTGCCTGCTGTCATAAATGCAATAAAATGAAAATGTGCCAAATCGACTTAACTTGTCATAGGAAGTTTGCTGTCTTTGATTTTAATTATATCTTGTGTTACAATCTTTTAGTGCTCTAAACGGGTCTCTAGCGTGGTTCTGTAATATTTCTCATCATTAACCCTCATCCGGGCAAGCTTTTTTACAACCTATTCTGGGCAAGGTGAGTCTGTCAGACTCATGTAAAATAAGGCCGTTTGCTGCGGTTACGGTATGTATTCTTATAAATAACAGTACTGTAACTAAAATAATACAGACAATTTATTCAATGGTCCTGATAGTTTAAAAAAATAATGACAGTAATAGACCGAAATATGTCGTAGTGAGTCGAGCGGACTCACCTTGCCCGGATTAGGGTTAAGGATGTGAGAGTATCAGCATGGAAGATCTCCGCACAAATCGGTCCATATATCATAACTGCATGGTCTTCCTTTATTTGCAAAGGGGTAGGGAAGGAACCGATTTCAAAGGGACGGTCTTATGTCAAAGAAATTCTAAGAAGCCGGACAATATGGGTCGAAGAGGGTAGAACTCTCTTCACATTGCCCCTTTTTTCGGGGGCTTCAAGGCCCTGGGTACTTGGGACATGTCTGCAATCTATTTTTTGGTAGTGCAAGCAAACCATTATAATGGATCTCTATGGCGCAAACTTATTGCACAACTACCATGAACACTCGCCCAATTTTTTTAACATTTGCTTGCAAATCCGTAACAGTAGCGACCATCTCTGTGGAATAATATTGGGATTTTGGAATCGATCATGCCGTTTACCAGATACTGAGATCTATTACTAGGTAGTACTTGATGCAGTACTTATACGTACCATGATACGAAGCGGATCAATGAGTGGATGACATTGATATGTATGTCAAATGCCGGAAGAATTGGGGAGAAGGGCGGCGCCATTGAAGGCGCCAGTTTCCTTTTCTCCTTCCCCCAAGCCGCTTCTCTATAGGGCCGTTGTTGAAAGTTCAACCGCAAGGCAGTGCCAAGATGAGATCTCTGGTGGCAATTTCAACAAACTGTTAGGGTGTTTCTTTCAGCAGCCTCTCAGTAGATGTAGAGCCACATCATTTTTCGAAGGTACATTTATACTATTATTAATTTTTTATTTATTGAGCATGGTTTGAGGACCTCGGTAGAGAAACAATGATCTAGAACAATCATATTCACGTTGGTTCCATGGGTCACTTTGGATCCCCCCTTAGTCAGTTTCGATCAACTTGAGTCACTCATGGAAAATTTCTCTCAAGCTGTCATTGGATCAGTTTGGGTCACCATGGGCCAAATTTATTAAACTTAGGTCACTCTAGGATAAATAGGCTCAATGGATTGAATTGGGTCACTCCGAGTCACTTATGGTCAATGCGGGCCACTCCGGTTCACTTTGACTCGCTCCTGGTCGCTTTGGCTCACTCTGGGTCAGGGTCGCTTTGATTAAGGTAACTTTGGCCCTCAAGTATCATTCAGGTTGGCAGGTAAGTAGCAAAAAGTGGAGGCAGAATATTATCTTTATGACATGCGCTATACCGATAGCATTAGTCATGAGTGTACCATATGCTTGGCGGATTTTAGAAGCGTCCTTCACCGAGATATATGCTTCTTTTTCGAATACTGTAATGTCACGATTGCCAACTACCTTATCCAAGGCAGCAATAAAAGCTTAAGCCATAGATAAGACTGAGCCATTGATATCCAGGAGAGAGAGTTTTATTTCATTGCGTTTTGGTAAGGTTTATAGCATGGTCATCACCATCAAAAAGCGCGAGCAGCAAACCATAAATATGGCGTCGGGATCGACACTATGTGGATGATACAGTACCAACTCAGAAGAAAGAATACATTTTACAATGCCTTCCATTTACTTTAGAGAGAGAAAAGCATGGCCTGTCGATAGTCTTTCGAATGGATGGATGTCGAGCGCCCATATTCTCGGATTGCACTTAAGTACTCCATGGAAAGACCTTAGCTAAGCTAAGTAAATGGAAAAGGAGTTCTACACTCAACAATTCTTATTGATGGAATAGCATGTAATACGATATGGGTCTAATATGCTCCTCTTTCGCCTGGGCGCCATGACAACCAAGTGCGAAAATGACGAGTGCCCTAGGATGAACCATTGATTCAATTTGCAATGGGTGACGCAGTAACGTAGTGACTGGGAGTAGTGGCTTGATGTCCCAACTCTGAAAGAATGAGTAGGCGATACTAGAGAAGGTGCTCCCCCAACTGTCACTTGATCGCGATACTAAAATTCGCTCTTAACACGTTCACTGCTGGACCAAAATGCCTGTCGGTAAACATCATATTTAAGAGTCACCGGTGACTCGTGCCATAGTGAACGTGTTTATTATCCGTTAGCAATGCTTTCACCCTTTCTTTCCTGTAATTCTTGAAGAAACCTAATGTTCTAACGTTGCATTTAAGTTACCATCCCGCACTCGACTTTATGTCCGCATTCGATGTGGAAAACCAGTACGTTGTGGAGATCCCCAAAACCTCCCCCCCCCTTTTCTCAAACTTGGTATCTGGCTTCCCACACTTTAAAAAATAAAGGCTCTCCCATGAACTGTTTATTTGTTCTAGGGTAAAACTTTATTGGAAATATTTGATGGTTTCTTAGAATGAGAACCACTTACGAAGGCTACACGTAGCACCTTTGCAGAAGGTGTCGCTTAAATCCCTTTGTGAATGAAATGGTTCCACAGAAAACCACCTACGAAGGCTAAATGTGGCACCTTCACAGAGGGTGTCACTTAAAACCCGCTGTAACTGGCTCGGTTCCACTCAGAACCATCCCTCAATGCAGCACTCATTTGAATGTGGTATAGGGGATTTTCTCTTAGAGAAAGAGTCCTCTCGAAAAAGTTGCCTTTCGGCACTGCCGAAATGTTAGGTGGGTGCTTAGTCAGTTCACGGAGTTTGCTGGATTCAAATAAGTAACAGGACAAATGCAAAATTATAATGTCTTCAAGGTAAACCAAGGGGCACCGTAGAGGCTGAAAAAGTGAAAGGGAAATTCATTCATCCACGTCGATGTCCATTTCCCCTTATTTCAACACGGGCATAAGCACTTCCATATCACATTCCACCTTCCAGGAAGTTTTTAATCTTCCTCACACGTGGGAAGAGGTGTGTGTCTTCCTTCATAATCCCTTCGTAGAAATTACGAAAATTCCTTAGTTCAAAAGGATATTGAATTCCATATACCGAAGTCCAAAATTTGATGTCGAATCAATGAACGTAGGAGGGATGGGGACCTTCCGAAGTCCAGGCGAATACTGGACGAGGCAAAGAGCGAGAATTGTAACTAATCGAAACAGGCGTCACCTTCCATCCAGCCTTCACGAACGGAGACAGCACTCAGGGCATAAGAAGTGGCGTATTAAGGCAAGGGAGGCAGGGTAGCAGAAAGGAAATGCCAAGGTCGGTGGGAGGGGGGGAGTTCTGGGCGGATGGCGAAAAAAATAATGACGTATCAAGACCTGAAGGGATCCGTTTCCGAACCATTTTGAGAAAGCACATGAAATGATCGTACCTAGAACCAATGGGCGGTTTCAGGGGTTCTACAAGCAGCAATGTAATTTCATATGGTTCTACAGAACTTGCAACCTTTTCAAGGGTGTAGAACCATCGAATAGTTCCTGCCTGAACCATTATTTTTTACATTGCATCCTCAATGGTTGGCGGTTGCAGGAACTGTAGCTACCCCTGACGTATCGATAGTTTATAAATAATATTAATTGCAACATGATCATCAGGCAGTTATGCATCTGGAGCCGCACGTTGTGAAAATGCAACGAGGAGGCATTCCCCCCTGGCGCGGGTATAGTATACCTTATATGACTACTTGTCGCATTTGATATTCTGCATGCCTGATGGTTCCATGCAGCACAGCGACACATTTGAATTTCCTTGTCGCATTTGACGTTATTACTTCCGTGAATGAGTTAGAAAACCAATATTTTCAAGCAAATTTGCATATATTCTGACTGGTACTCTCTCGGGAGTGCCTTTCATGCAAGAACATACTGTACTTCACATGTATAATTTCTGCCATATGACACTTGCAGCAGTCACAGTCGTCTTGTAGCACTCGTTATCCCTCCTTTTTGCGTGTCAGTAACTAATTATAATAAATTAACAACTGTGAATTTTAGCTAGTTCTTGGATACCACTCTTCTGACAATAGATCCTCTTCTGAAGTTTCTGAAGTAGTATACAGGAGACACCTGATATACTTAAGGTGAGAAACCGTTCGACTCATATTTGTGCCGGCGTGAACCAGTGACGCCAGGTTCTTATCTACCATTTCGCCCGCTGAAGGGGAAAAAGGACCAGCGGATCTGTTGCACTGGTAGACTATCTACGTTCTTATCTAATTCTCTTTCGCCGGAAACAACAAACCTAGTCGCACATCCATACTATGCCTTTCGATTGAGAGCAAGGGGATTCGTTCGTTTCAACTCAAATGGATGAATATGGTAGACGTGACCAGGAATAATACCGCGATTGCAGTTGCCGGGAAGACTCTAATTGTTGATCTCGGAAGAAGATTAATCATGGAAAAGAAACCATCTTATCATTGCGCATGGCCGCATGCTTAATATAGGTATCGAGTGCTCAGGCTCACAGAGCAGAGCAGAGGGCACAGTCAAGGCGCAAGTGTACCCACAAATGACGGATCTTGGTGCTTGAGTCCGGATTAAATGCAATTCGGTGACTTCCAGGAAGGCTTCGGTTTTTCCCTGCCGTTGGACGTCACCGTGGATAGAGATGGGGAGCATAGTTGGCAAAGTAGGCCTATTTTATTTTTAGAAATAGTTCTTGGTATGGCGCCCTGACGGCTGCATGATTAGAGGCGGTATATGACGATTTCCATACCATGCTGACGGTATGAA